TACTCTGCTAGGGCTGATTATTTTCCTTCACCCTCTCAAAAACCCAAAAATAAAATTGATATTTCCAATAGACCTCAGCAAAAAATTTGGGTTGAAAAGTCCACGTTTAAATGCTTATCTGCGATTACCTCTTTAAAAGCAAGTACTACTAATGATTGGTATTTTGACAGTGGGTGTTCACGACATATGACCGGTGTTAAAGAGTTTCTGAAAAACTATCAACAAATCACCGGTGGAGCTGTTACCTTTGGAAACGGAAAAAATGGTGAAGTGCTAGGGAAAGGATCGCTAAATCATGAGAATCTCCCAAAGCTGAAGAATGTACTACTTGTAGAAGGACTCACGTCAAATCTAATAAGCATCAGCCAGCTATGTGATCAAGATCTTGAAGTCAGATTCAACAAATTCGCATGTCGAGTATTAGACAAAGACGAGAATTGTGTTATTCAAGGAACTCGATCATCTGACAACTGCTATATTCTTGTCTCTGCTGGACCACTGGAAGAGGAACCAACAAAGGAATTGGAAAACAGCTCCAGTGTCGCACCAACAGTTCCAACAGTTGATGCAGCCTCTACCATTTCAGAAGAAAGAGACGTCAATTCTGAAACAGGAGACGAAGCTGAAGTCAGGTCTCTCGAATTGGATGATCAAACTCACAAGGAACCCTCAAGAAGAGTCAAGAAGAATTATCCAGTGGATCAAGTCATTGGTTCGGTAGAAATAGGAATTCAAACCCGAGGCTTTAGCGATGCTGGTTGGGCAGGTGATGCAGACGATCGAAAAAGCACAACTGGAGGATGCTTCTATCTTGGGAACAATCTCGTGTCCTGGTACAGCAAAAAACTCTTATGGATGAGACAACTCTTATGGATGAAACAAATGGTATGTGATTATGGTATTAGTCAAGATTTATTGCATATTTATTGTGACAATATGAGTGCAATTAATATTTCCAAAAATCCAGTACAGCACTCTCGAACTAAGCATATTGAAATCCGGTACCACTTCATTAGAAATCTGGTAGAGGAAGGAACTGTCTCATTAGAGTATGTCACAACAGAAAAACAACTTGCTGACATCTTTACTAAACCCCTTGATGCACATAGGTTCGATTCCTTGCGAAATTCGCTTGGAATCTGTATTGTTTGATCTGTGCAGTTGCATAAACTGTTGCAACTGTCTGTGTCCAGACTTGCAACTTTTAGGTTTTTATGGACACATCATACATACTGCATTTTGTTCATCTAAGTTATGCATTAGTCATGCTGCATGTGATGAAAACTCTTGTGTATTGGATACTATCTGTTCTTTCAAACTTTGTGAGGTAAAACTTCATCAATCCCCGAATGATGGCTATAGAGGCTTTAGTTTATTTAATACTCCTCACAATCTCGTCATGGTTTAACACTTTCATAAGGAAAAGCTGCCTCTCCAAATGAGTGAAAGCTACTCTTGAATTTTTGTTTAAACTATATATAATAAATTGGTTTGTGAATAGTTCGAAGCCTTTTTGAGTTGAGTCAGTAAATCACGTGGCCGAAAGCTCCTACAAGACTCAAATAGAAAGCCCAGGGGACTACACATTGCACGACCATTGTAAACTCTTATATGGTCAGTGAATAGTTCGAAGCCTTTTTGAGTTGAGCCGGTAAACCTCATGACCGAACCCTCACCACACGACTCAATTAGAAAGCCCAGGGAACTACACATTGCACGACCACAACTATCTCGCTAATTAAATTGCTTTGTTCTTCATGAAAAAGCTACCATTAGTAGGGTGTGTATGCTACCTAATAAGAGCGTTTTTGTGCTTGATTTGAGGGTATTAAATTTATTGTTAGTCTTGTTAGTTTGTATTTCGGAGCTTGCTCTTTGTTAAAATTGAAGATAAACCCCATGGGTTTGATAGTCCTAATAGTATCCTATTCACTCGTGTTTACCCACTCATATTTTCTTTCCTTCTCTCACGTTTATTTTTTTCGTCCTAGTAATTTAATTCTGCATATTAGGCATATATATATAAAAAAAAAAAAAAAAAAAAAAAAAAAAAACGGGGTGGGTTCGTATATGTTTTGGCGGCAATCATTTTTTTTGAAGTCACCCACTTTTCTGGGCATTTTTTTTCTTCTCGAAGTTTTCTTGAACTGTGATGGGCTTCATATGTGAAGGTTGAGAGTTGCTGTACCTGAATTTAATTTTCATGAAATTGCTCTCATTGTTGGCAGAATAATATTTGCAATTTCTTCACTATAATCTTCCTAAATTGCTAAAATACCCATGAGAAGACCAATAGTTACCCTTGTTTCTGCCCCTTTTCGTTTTTTTTTCTTCAATTTGGTTTTCTTCTCTACTGCTCTTTTTTCCTTCTTCTTCCTTTGCAGCAAATCACAAATCTGCACTCAAATCAAAGGAATCCAAGAGCACAGTTATGGGGAAACGAAAAAGCACCGGTGGATCGTCTTCTTCGTCCAAACGACGACCATCTCGACCAGCAACCACTCCGATGACCGCCCTGTCTTCGGGGAGCCATGTGATGCCGTGCCCCTTGCTTTTTGGGAGCCCCCGCTCCTTCTCACGGCTGCCTCTGCTGAGAATTTTGGGAATCTTCCCGTTGTTGTGGGTCATAGGGTTTCTCCACCGCCATCGCCGCTAGTGACGCCACCGTCGCCGCCAGTGACGCCGCCGTCACCCTTCAACTATTCTCCGCTGCCACACTCTCCGGCTGCCCAATCGTCTCCACCACCAGTTGAACCGACATCGCCGCCGTCGTCAACCACCGCACCGGCTTCACCCCCACCGCCGCCATCCTCGTCGGTCAACAAAGGCAAGGGCCTTGCCACCACACCACCGCCGCTCCGTCGCTCCCGTCGACGTGCTACTCACTCTGCCTCATCTTCCGCTCAACCCACCACCTCTGATGACTCTGCACCCGATCCCGTGGTGCCTATATCTGCCGTCGATGCCTTTAATTCTCGGTTCTTTCTCCGAGCGAATCAAATCCGATGGCGTCTGTCAAGTGTTTCATGATTTTTATGCCAACCTACCTAGTGGGGTCTCTGATTGTCGAAGTCGTTTTTACGAAGAAGAAACTCGACTATTTTACTGCCTTGCTCAGAAAGGGGGAGATTATTCTTGAGGGGGAGTTGACAACGAAGCATCAACAACCCAGGAGGAACCGCATACAGGGGGAGCTGATGCAGCTGCTGGAACTACTACTGAACTGTTGTTGCTCCAACTGTTCCAACAGTTGATGGTACAACAGCTGAAGTTGATACGAATGATGACGAGGAGTTGTTCGTTGATGCTGAATATATTCTGGAGTAGTTTTTTTTGTGGTTGTCGAATTGATTTTCTGAACAACGGCATCTAATAGTCTGCTAGGCTTAACTTTTTTCTTGTTTCGTTAACTGCTTTTTCCTTTAACTGTTCTAACAGTTACTCTATTATGCAGTCTAATGTTTTGTCAGGTAATTGATCAAGGGGGAGGACTTGATTATAATAAATAGATGACAAAGGGGGAGATTGTTAGAATCCGAGAGGATTCTATTTCGGTTTTTCATGACGTATACGAAAAACGTGTATAAAAACTAGGGAAGTTTCCTTAGTTCTTTAAACTCTTATTTTGTCATTAATTTATTTAATTACCTAAGTGTTTTATTAACAAGGAATTCCTTTGAATAAGACTTTCCTTGTTTGCATAACTCTTTTTCCTTACGTAAGATTATATCTAACCTAATGGGCTCTATTTCTTGTGTAGGGCTCTACTAATTCAACAAAAGGAAATATAAGAAGGCAGCATCAACGTCGTTATCAACTGTCCCTTTTATTTTGAGAGAAAACTATTTTCTGCTCTTACGTTGCTGCTCCAGAATTGCTGATCTTAAATCGAGAAGAAAATACAGAAAAAGGAGTTTGCTTCTTTCACCGAAAAGAAGATCGGTTCTTCGGGAGGAGAACTCAGAAGATCTCGGGAGGAGGTCGATCCGCCGACTGAGGGACTCAGCGTTGAAGGAATTTCAACCGTGCGGAAAGGGACGTGCTGCAAAGTGAAGATTCACAATTCAGCGTAGGATACAAGAACGGCGTCGACAAAGAGGGAGTCTTTGCATTTTCGATTAAGTCCTATTACTGTATTCGTAAAACTAAAAATTAGTGAATTTCATTTGCAGGTCCCCGTGGATGTAGGGTACAATTGTATCCGAACCACTTTAAAATTTGTGTCTTTTTATTACTGTTCCATTAACTGTTGCAACTCTTCGTAAAACAGTAGAACAGTAATTAATTTATAATTAATTTGCACGAAATAATTCTAACAAGGTGCACTGGGTAAACCTACACTCTCGTATAATAGCTTGCAAACCATACGAGAGATGTAAACCACACTAGGCTAACCATGTGTGACAAGCTCGACCTAGCGACCGTTGATCTTTTGTTTCTATGTTATGGCGTTTTCCTTAACGACATTGTATGCAATTAGCGGTGATTACGACTCTCCCTCCTTCATATTTAATTTAATGGTAAATTACGAACCTCCTGAACTTAGGTAAATTATGAAAAACACCTCCACCTATCCGTAATCATACAGTTTATGAACACATGAAATTCGAATTAAAGTGATTTATCAAATTAGCAATGGATGTTTCGCGGTTTGTAGGCAAAATTAGAAATAAAGACGCTACGAGTTTTGAATTGAAAAATGGTGGTATATAAGATAGTAGCTTTGGGGTTTTCATTTCCGCTTTTTGAAAAAATTATAATTACCACGTACCCACTCGCTGTGAATATACAGATTTGCCAAAATCTGGGCGATCGAATTAAGATGCCAGTATGGGAGTTTAAGCCACTACAAATGTATTTTTTGTGAACACAGGGAACCAAATATGAAATCAATGCAAACTTAAGGGGTGAAAACTATAATTTTCCCTTTTATATATATATGTTTTATTAATATTTATCTGCCGATGCCAAATCAATTGCACCCCGGCCTGTAAATAAGTAAAATCGGCTAAAACATATTAAGGGTAGGATAGTAAATTTCTCTGCACTGTTAAATTTCTAACGGTCGACTATTAAGAAAAGGGGGTGTTTTGTATTTTTCGTTAGTGTAGGGGGGGTAAATTAAAATAAAAAGTTGGTGGGTGGGTGGGTGTGTGTGTAAATATATATAGTTACGAACAGAACGCAAAAAGAGAAGACTCCGAGCGGTTACATTCAAAATATATATATATGATATTTCTTCTCACTCATCGATATATTAGCATAATTACAACTGTGTCTCTTCTCGATCAGATTAAATAACCACAACTCTCCAAGAAAATCAACAACAAATTAATTAATTAGTTTCAAGAAAATGGCTGAAAAAGGAGGTGGTGCCTCGTCGAGGAAGAAGGATACAGCTGGCAAGGCAAAGATTGGCGAACGCAGAAAGATAGACGACTCCGATGATTATAATCAAGAATATGCTCAATTCAAGATTCGCAGGAATAATCCAAGATCATGTTCCAGGTTCTCTCTCTCTCTCTCTCTCTCTCTCTCTCTCTCTCTCTCTCTCTCTCTCTCTCTCTCTCTCTCTCTCTCAAGAACATTGCAGCATGTAGGCGGTTTAATATGTTCAAGAATTTTAATTTCATTTAATTTATTTTTCTTTCTGAAAAATAAAATAAAAAATATGATTTACAGTGCTATGGAGTAACTGTTTACAGTGGAGCTAACTCCAGCTGACGTGGATGAGAAGCTAAACCTAACTCAATTACAGGCATCCATGCTTATGGAAGCATATTCGAGACCCGTGCTCGAAAATTTAATCAACTTTTCGACGGCTATCGATTTGTCTGATGAACACAAGAACAAATACACTATGCAATTAGCAAAGGAACCGAAGTATGCAATACCCGTCGCGGATATAATCTACTACCTTAATCAAGGCTGGTTAACCGTCGTTCAGAAACGCGAACTGAAAGCCGGAGACGTAGTCAAGTTTTACAAACTTTCATCAGTGGGACTGCATATTTTTGTTAAAGGCCGTGTGCCGTCGTTCTTTATTCGTATCAACAAACCTGATGCAGAATAAGCTCGATAAAGAACCGAGTCAAGGTTATTTCGAGAGAACCGATATGCAGGTTGAAGAAAAATGAATAATAAAAAAAAAATTAAGTAGATCAGATTATTTTTCATGCAGTACTAGTTATTAGATGTTTCTTTACTTTTGTTTGATTTGTTGTGCTCCGTCGAAAAATAGAGATTGTCGATTTTCTTTTTATGAACAAGAGATTATTTTCTTTTCTTTAAAATACGTATGATCGATATATGGACTTGACTTGAGAAGACCGAATGCAATTATTTAGTTCGATGTACGTAGGTCCGATCCAATATAATACGACATCTTTAAACGCGTAACTAATTGATCGACGATCTATACATTTGCATGACATGTATGTATATTAATTACAACTGGTTTTTATTATCCAATTTGTGATCATCAAGGGCAAATGATTTCTACTAGCTAGGTCGGGCAAAGGCCGATGAGAGATGGCACGCGAAAAGTTTTAGGAATACTTTATGTATTTAATATATTTTTTTACGAAAAATCGGATTGCAAATTCCACGAATTAGGCTGTTTCCATAATCAAGAATCCTAATATCAGTGTCTTCTACATAGATTAAACTTTGACGACACGTAATAAAACATAAATAAAGTTGTGTTTCCGTAATAAGAATCCTAGTCGATCATTTGCCATTTTTTTTCCCTTCGTTTTTGGACCGCACTTTCGTCGGCCCCCGCCTCATGCTTCTCAGATTTCTCTCTTTTGTTTCCCTTATTTTCTTCAATTTCTTGTCTCCTTCTTCATTTCGACAATGATTCAGGGGTGATTGTAATTACCGATACCACAGGGACCTTAAAGTTATTTTAGCATATCTCAGAGATGTAATTTACCCTATTAATTTTTTTGTCAAAAGTAACAATATGGGGGGCCTCAGTAAGACGGCAACATACCTCGAGGGTATTCGTAATTAGACCTTACCTTAGTGAATTTCTCGTAATTTACACTTTATTACTTTTCAAATGACAAAGGGGTATAATGGACAAAACACAGTTTTGTGAAACAGCTGGTTAGAAGGGGATTTTCGTAATTATGTAAACGTGAGGGAGATTTTCATAATTAGCTAGGCTTTACCTCAGGGGTTTTTCGTAATTTGCCATAAAATGTAATTTAGACAATTCTTTCATTCACATGTGCTCTCAGTTTTAGGGGAGTATTTGTAATTACAAATACCATAGGGGTTTGTAGTATTTAGTCTTACCCAAGCGGGGTATCCGTAATTTACCCTTTAAAAAAATTGTAAGGGATTTGAGTGAGGTTTATCTTTTCAATTGGGGTGCAATGAAGATAATTTATTTTATGTGCAAAATGGTATTAAATTTTCTTAAGAATTTGAAAGATAGGAAGACAAATCCCACACAGACTCTTTGTTGAAAAGGGAACTATGAAATAGTATATATAGGCCCCGTTTGATTGGTAAGATAAGATTAAATAATCTAACGAAACTCAAATATTTTATTGGAAGACAAGATAAGTCCCATGATTACATATTTTTGGCGGGTCGACCCGACAATTTATTTGGGATACCAAACATAATATTAAGTCCAACTATTTAGTTAATCTTAGCTTATCTAGCAACCAAACGGGGCCATATTATACACGGGATTCACCAAAGCAATACAAATTTAAACTCCGAAATGCTCCCGCCGCCGCCGCCACCGCCACTCCCGCCGCCGCAGCCATAGCTATGATGAAACTAGATACATCGGTTCTTCCACTAGAAATCATAGAAATTATCCTGTCAAAATTATCAGTTAACTCTCTTCTTCGATTCAAAGTTGTTTGCAAGTCATGGAATACTTTGATTTAAGGAGTTCTATTTCCGAAGAGTTATCTTTGGTTAAATTTGAAGAATCCAAGATTCCAAACTGTGAAATTACTTAAAACCCCCTTGTGGCTTGGATATTATCTTGAGCTATTGCGACGGCGTGCTACTTTTAACCAACTCTTCGTACCGAAGAATTGGGTTGTGGAATCCATCCACTCGAATTCGAACAACTCTTCGGGTCCCACGGGAATTCGGCGGTTGTTCGAAGAGTTACGCATTTTATCATGATCCAATTGCTGGCGATTTTAACCTGTTCGTTATATGCAATAATTACTATCGATTTTTGTTGGGGATCGGGCACGTGTGTACGCAGCGGAAACAAAAATTTTATTTTATTTATACAAACTAGTTTATATAAATAAACACGTGCACATGAATTACAAGTAATTGCGTACCTTTTCGCTTCCAGTCACCAACAAACATGCTTACATATATAATTAATTTAAATAACATAAATTAAATCAAATAATAAACATGCTCAACGAACGATTCATATAAACACATAATCGAACATATAGATTCATGTGATTCAATAATCAATTAACACACATTAATCTCAATTAATATAAATTAATTAGGGAAAACGAATTTTTACCCTTGAAGCGTGAATCGAACGAAGACTCGAAAAGATGGCTAGCTGCTTTCCCACTTCGACGGATCCGACCTGTTTTCTGATATGAAATTACAGGCCTGCTCCGACTTCATTATCTCCACGGTTATTGATTGGATCAACAATTCGTTAGGGAATTGTAGATATATGGCTTCTGAAGCTTCTGTAAAAAATTCACGTCCATCCAATCACTGGTTGATTTACGGCGACTTTTCTCGCTAGATTGCGCAGAAAATCCGAGAGCAATTTTTCAGAATTGCCTTCTCACATCACCGGCTTGTGGCGGCGCGTGGAGACTACCCTAGTGGTGGCGTTGGCGGCAGAAGAATCTTATTCCTCTTAGGTTTCACCTCGTATATTAAATCCACTATCCACGCAACACTAAATACGTGATAGTTGAAGTACAACGAAGAAGAACTAGGGGAATAGGAAGATGCCGATGCGGCGGCGCGACGGCTGGTGGTGGAGGTAGGGTTTCGGCTACAAGGTGGCTAGCTGATGGAGGGAGAGAGGCTATGGTTTCATTCTACGTTTCCTTTTTGTGTGTCTTTCACAAGACATATAAATCCTAATTATATAGTTCTTGTGAAAACCCTAACAGGCCTTAAGTTGTGCTAGACCCAACAACTTAAGTCCGCTATCTTTCTCGGCTCGTTTCTAACAAACGAATGCTCGCAAAAATAAAACAATTATATTTTGATGACAAGCACAAAATTCTCGTCGATACGAGTACCACTTTGCAATTTTCCAATTTTTGAAATTAGAAACCCTTATTTAGGACCTGCCAAATCGGGAAATTTCCCAATGTAGAATGTTCACTAACTTTCCGTCGAATTATTTTCCTCTACTTATTCTCATCCATAATTAACAATTATGAATGTTGGACTCAATCACATTGACTTCCAATTACACTAGATTAACTAATTAATCTTACCTCGTTGCTTAAGGATCTCAAGTATACGAGCAGTGACCCTCGATGGTTCAGGTGTAAGCTAGCCGTGGGCCCACAACCCATTGTGGTTTAAACTTGTCCCTAGAGTTATAGTTAAGTTGAAGCTATTTTCAACTTAACAACCCAATGAATCAAGATTGGCGTCTAGCAACTATGCGTCACGATTCCCTAAATACAAATGAAGTGCCTCCAAGAATCGTGTGATATAGTTAACGTACAGTACGATCCCTTCGATACATGTATCCCGATTGAACTAGAGGCATTGGTTCGTCGCGACCTCTTTATGAGTTCAATAACTGTGTGGACGTTCTTGATTATATAACCCGTTCGTGTTTGACTTAGAGAAACATATTTCTCTAATCACGATACTTTCAGTTGTGGCCACAAACTTCATGGGTTATAAATCGCAAGAACACACATGATATCCCTGAGTGATCAAGCGATCGAATCCCCTATTACAATGCACAAACCTCCCTTTAGATTTCGGACTGCACGAACACTGGCCCTTGGGGCAGTCCTCGGTTGAACTCAGGAAGAGGTCACGATACAGCTGGTCTTCTAGTGAAGTCACATGATGTCTGGGTCTTAAAGATTAATGGCGTACAACTATATCATAGAAACCTCTCTACTAGATTATTGGGAACCACTTAGAGATCTCTAGATTGAGGGAGTTCAGTGAACTCATCAACTTATGAGCACCCACTGATGTATGCCGATGTCACAACATCGTTGACTGATGAAACGCAGTACACATACACTAATTGCAAGTCTCAAATGGGAAATGTTGATATCCTCATTAGTGACGTAACCCGTTGACTAGAACTACATTTAACAGTTATTATACTTCAATAAATAATCTCACGACTCTACTAGATATATTCATAGTAATTAAGTAACTGTAAGGACTATATTTATGCTTATGCAAGGGACAAAGATATAGAATGCCAAATGGGGTATTTATATCATTAATACGAAATAGATTATTTACGAGTAGCATGAGAAAACACAACGATTAGTTGACTCTGTGGTCACCTACTCTAACAAGTTTTTTCATGCAAGAACAATGCATAGACGTTGAAACAAGAATTTGCAGGCAGACAACGTTGTGAACCAGAGGTTTTCGTTGACGATGTTTTCTATTGGGTTAGATTTGGCGATAAAAGTCGACATATAACAATATATTATGAAATAACATATTTTGAAAGAATTATTGAATTATTGAAACAGTTCATCCATTGTTTGTACCGATTTTACATTTGATCTCTCATGTTTCAGTGTTTTGTTAAAACTAACATAATCAAGAGTGAGCACTCATCACCGGCTTAACTGACGGACTAACGATAAATTGACGAAAAAGACCAAAAATGTTAAATTATTGAAATATGAGGAATCAAATGTACTTTTTGTGAACATGGGGGCCAAATATGAAATCGATGCAAACATAAGGGGTGAAAACTATAATTTTCCCTTTAATATATATATATATATATATATATATATATATATATATATATATATATATATATATATATATATATATATATATATATATGTTTTAGGGGAAATATGCAGTACCCCTGAAATGGAAAATATTTTGAACTAAACTCAATTGACTGTTAGAGAATTTTGCCTACACCCAAGTTTGATTCTTAATTAGTGAGACCCCCTGACCAGCCATGATAAGACTAAAGTGCCCTTATGTGGTTATGTTTTTAACGTGAAACAATTTTATCTCACTCTTTCACTCCCCCTCTCTCTCTCGTTCTCGATTTCTTTTTTTTTTTCTTTTCAGATTTGTCCACCACCACCACCACCGTCGCCTCATATCTCACTCTCTTTCCTTCACCACCGCCACCACCGTCATTGTCGTCGACTCTCCATGCCTCTCTTTTGTTATTTTTCTATCTTTATTTATATATTTTTCAATTTTTTTTTCAGATCTGAAAATACAGTTTCAGATCTGAACAGCAGCAGTAACATGACTATAGTCATATTCGAATATGACTACGAATATGTATATATCATATTTATGTATTTTTCGAATATGAATGTAGTCATATTCGAATATGTTCTATCTTCTCGTTTTCAAGTTAACTTCTAATAACTAGATTCAAAATTGTTATTTATTTTGTGGATGTTGATTGGATTGGTTTCGTAAACAATAGGGAATTTTCGTTGTTTTATATAATTTGGTAAATATGACTACATAGTCACATATAGCCATATTCAATTATAGTCATACTCGGAGTTGTAAACCTGTTGAGAAAAAAAAATCAATTTTTTGTTTTAAAAAAAAAATAAAGAACAAAAATTTATTAAAAAAATAATAAAAAAATGGCTAAATAATCCGAAAATAATAACAAAAAAAATATATTTTATTATTTGGTAGCATTTTTTTAGAAATTTGGAAGCAAATTTTTAGGAATTAGATTATTAATATGGAAAGAGAGAAAAAATGAATTATTCAGACTAATTATGCTAATTGACATAAGGGTAGAATTGAGAATAAAATTTCTACGAATTATCACAAAGAAAGACTTAAGGATTGGACATATCAACATTTCTTATCTATATGAGAGGATTATTGCTAATGACCCCTATGTTTTATTAATATTTATCTGCCGATGCCAAATCAGTTGCACCCCGGCCCGTAAATAAGTAAAATCGGCTAAAACATATTAAGGGTAGGATAGTAAATTTCTCTGCACTGTTATATTTCTAACGGTCGACTATTAAGAACAGGGGGTGTTTTGTATTTTTCGTTAGTGTAGGGGCCGGGGGTAAATTAAAATAAAAAGTAGGTGGGTGTATATATACATATAGTTACGAACAGAACGCAGAAGAGAAGACTCCGAGCGGTTACATTCAATATATATATATATATATATATATATATATATATATATGATATATCAGCATAATTACAACTGTGTCTGTTCTCCATCAGATTAAATAACCACAACTCTCCCAGAAATCAACAACTAATTAATTAATTAATTTCAAGAAAATGGCTGAAAAGGGTCGAGGTGGTGCTCATAATCCAGGCTCGTCGAGGAAGAAGGATACAGCTGGCAAAGCAAAGATTGACGAACGCAGAAAGATAGACGACTCTGATTATTATGTATATGCTCAATTCAAGGTTCCCAGGAGTAATCCAAGAATCCCATGTTCCAGGTTCTCTCTCTCTCTCTCTCTCTCTCTCTCTCTCTCTCTCTCTCTCTCTCTCTCTCTCTCTCTCTCTCTCTCTCTCTCTCTCTCTCTCTCTCTCTCTCTCAAGAACATTGCAGCATGTAGGCGGTTTAATATATATGTTCAAGAATTTAATTTAATTTAATTATTTTTTTTCTTTCTGAAAAAAAAATCAAAAAATATGATTTGCAGTGAGGGAGTGAAGGAGGAACTGTTTACAGTGGAGCTAACTGCAGCTGACGTGGATAAGATGCTAAACCTGACTCAATTACAGGCAGACATGCTTATGGATGAATATTCGAGACCCGTACTCGACTCTTTAATCACCTTTGCGATGGGTATCGATTTGTTCGATGAACACGACCAGAAATATCCTATGATATTAGGAAAGCAACCGAATCCCGTCGGAGGTGCATTCCACTACCTTTGTCGAGGCTGGTTTATCGTCGGTAAGAAACGCAAACTGAAAGCCGGAGACGTAGTCAAGTTTTACAAACTTGCATCAGTGGGACGTACTTTTGTTAAAGGCCGTGCGTCGTTCTTTATTAATATCAACAAACCTGATGCAGAAGAAGCTCGATAAAGAACCGAGAGACGACGATCAAGATAATTTCGAGAGAAACCGATATGCAGGTTGAAGAAAAAGGAACAAAACCCACAGGAGGGTAAATGTAATATTTGAACTTACCCGAGGGCAAATTATAAGAAACCTCTTGATGTAAGCTCTAAATACAAAACCCCTTCATATTTGCGTGATTACGAAACCCCCATAAGGTATGTTGTCGTCTTACACAGTCCCCATGCGGTGTTACTTTTGACGGAATATTTTTAATCCCATGGAATATTCCTCTAAAATCTGAATATATCACTGGAAATATCATTTTCCCTTTGGGGTAATTGTAAGTATATCAATTATGTCGAGGGTAAATTGTAATACATTAAAAAACCATAGTTATTTTTAACTTAAAACTACAATACATTTCTTCATTTTATAATTATTTAAAATAGAAAATATATATTAAAAATAATTAAACATGAATTGTAGCATCATAAGTTTTTATTTGTGCTGTATTTTTTATTCAATAAAATCGATTTTATATATTTTGGAAATATTCTCATATTTCTTATTTAGGTTATACATATTTTCATTAATTTTTTTTAAGTTTTTAATAATATTTCAATTTTAAACGGATGAAATGTAAAATGTATATATTAAATATAATTAAGTCATAAAAACAAAAACAAAAAAAACTTGCGACCCCTTGCGAGCAGAGAAGTCATCACTCTTACTTTTTTGCTCCGAGGCATGTTATGGTGATTGGATATATTATTGTTTTTGTCCAAAGTAACATCGGGGGCCTCAGTAAGATGGCAACATACCTCGAGGGTTTGTTAATTAGACCTTACCTTACGGGGTTTCTCATAATTTACTATTTATTATTTTTCATATGACAGAAGGGTGTAATGGACAAAACAAAGTTTTTTGTGAATTTAAACGATAAAACACTCGTTAGAGGGGGATTTTCCTAACTACGCAAACATGATGAAGAATTTCATAATTAGCTAGGCCTTACCTCAGGGGATTTTTAGTAATTTGCCATAAAATGTAATTTAGACAATTTATTCATTCACATGGGCTGTCAATTTTAGGGGAGTATTTGTAATTACTAATATAGGGGTTTGCAAGTTATTTAGTCTTACCCTAGCGGGTTACCCGTAATTTACCCTTTAAAAAAAAATTGTTAAAAAAATTAAGATATTATTATGTGCAAAATAGTATTAAATTTTCTTGAGAATTTGAAAGCAATACAAAACTCCAAAACGCTGCCGCCGCCGTCACCACCACCACCACTACCACCACCACCGCCACCACCGCCATGGCTAGGATGAAACTAGATAGATGGTTTATTCCACTAGAAATCATAGAAATTATCCTGTCAAAATCATCGGTCAAATCTCTTCTTCGATTCAAAACAGTTTGTAAGTCATGGAATATTCTGATTTCAGATTCTGTATTCATCAAAAATCATCTCCATCAATCTAAAACTTCAAACCTGCATCAAAATCTTTTTCTTCTACGTAACTCGTCAAAGAGTTCCGTTTCCGAAGAATTATCTTTGGTTAGATTCGAAGATCCAAAATTCCAAACTGTGCAATTACTGAAAACCCCCCTTGGCTTGGACATTGTCTTAAGCCATTGCGACGGCGTGCTACTTTTAACCGACTCTTCGTACCGGCAATTCGGGTTGTGGAATCCATCCACTCGAACCCAGACAACTTTTCGGGTCCCACGCAAATTCGGTGGTTGTTCGAAGAGTTACGGGCTTTATCATGATCCAATTACCGGCGATTTTAACGTGTTCGTTATATGCACTAATTACTACCGAGTTTTTTCATGCAAGAACAATGCATGGACGTTGAAACATGAATTCGCCGAGGACAGATATAGTTGTGAACCGGAGGTTTTCGTTGACGGTGTTTTCTATTGGGTTAAAATAACTCGACATATAACAATATATTATTACGAGATAACATATTTTGATCCGAGAGATGACAAGCTCAAGACGTTGCCGGAGCCGGAGAATACAGACGGCACCGGATCGATTTACTTGGTCGAATTGAAAGGCCGTTTGTGCATGTATTGCAACGTCGGGAGAAACAACGACCACACGAAGGTTCGATTTTGGATGAAAGAAAAGGGCCCGGAAAATAATCATTGGGAGGAGTTTATAACCGTTGAGAATGTGCCGACCATAATTGTTTTTTTAGAGCCACAATATTGTTTTATGGAAAATAAGATTCTAATTGAATTACGTGATCCAACGAGGAGGAGATTCGTGGTCTACAACCCCGGTGAGAAGATAGTCAAAGATGTTGAGGACAGTGTGTTTAAACAAATTGAAGAGAGTATGCATTTTGGCCTCAGGTTGCTTCCATTTATTGATAGCCTTTTCTGAGTACGTACATGTTTCTGCTTAGAGATCATTTATCGACTTGTCGTCGTAATAATTAACATTTTTCGTTCCTATAAAATATAGTATATCATTATTATCACTTATTTGATTTTTTGTTCGTATACAATTTTCGACTGGCGATTGTACTTATGGTCTGCTTAAGCCTAGAATTGGCCTCTTTCCTTTTCGTTTGATGCTTTAACTACGTTGTTCCGTTAGTTTTGTAAATTTTTTCGTTCCTCGTTTATTAGAATATATCAAATTTTCGTTTGAGGGTTTATTTAGTTTGATCTATAATACGTAATCTTGTCATATATTCATAATCTTCGTGTGCCAAAACGGTAGGTTGAATCGGGTTAGTAGCTCTGTGAATCCTCGGTGAAACATATCGATGCACGAGGACTTGTTTTCCTCTAATAACCGTAACTTTTACGTGCTCTTGCTCTTTACCTCGGATTCAAAATTTCCAATAAATGCTTTAAATTAAAAATCACGAGCATTTTTGGTTCATGGATCTCCTTCTATAAGTGTGATACTAAGCACCATTCCGCCTATTTAGTAGTTCGCCTTGGCCCAATGTTCCATATAAGACCAGTATCCTGTGCGATGCACGGGGGCAATTTAAAAATAAAAATATGTTTTGGATAAAATAATCGAACAAAAACTTTGAATAGTTGATATATAATACGATATAATCAAAAAAACTTAAAAAATGTTCCATACGACACAATCACTCTTTTATGAAAATACCAAGAATTATTTGTCCAATGGATCATAGACTAAGTCGTCACGCAGCCGATCGACATGAAATAAATCGAGCCTTAAAATCTATTGCAAACAATTCCTCTTCCTCTTAGGCCTAAAAAATGTGTTAGGAGATATTAGACTTTCCACATACGGAACAGATAGAAAGTCGAAATAATGTGTGGTGTCTTCAAATTCTTCAAACGTCTTCTCAGAAGAGTTGTACAACACAACTGTTGTCCCGCGCAATCGAACGACAATCTTATTTTCTACGAAACACATTGGTACAAAATACGAAGCGAACCTCTCGACATTCTCAACGGTTATCAACTCCTTCCAGGAATTATTGTCCACGCCCTTTTCCTTTATCCAAATATGAACAACCTTGTCTCCTTGTTTGTAACTATACACGCACAAACGGCCTCCGAAATCAATCATGTTATAAGTAGGTCTTTGGACTTTGAAAATACCGTGCTCGTCGTTCGCCATCTTGAACTCGTCATCTTTGGGGTCGAAATATGTTAGTTTATATCGACGTTCGTCCTTTTCCATCTTTAACCAATAGACAACCCCATCGACAAAAACTCCCGGATGATAAGCTACTCCAAAAGTGTCTCCGAATTCTTTTTTCATCGTCCAGGCTTTGTTCTTGCACGAATAAACCGCGTAGTGATTCGAACATATCACAACAACCTTAAAATCGCCGATTATCGGATCATGACAAAGCCCGTACCAGTTGCAAAGCCCGTAACACTTATCATCAGTATTTAATTCGAATGGGAGCCGAAAAATTGTCTGCGTTCGAGTAGATGGATTCCACAACACAAATTCCACGCCACTTGGTGTTTCGTCGTCACTTGTGAATAGTAGAACGCCATCACAATAGCATAAGACGCGCATGTTGAAGCCACGAGGGCTTTTCAGGACATCTAAAGATCGTAATGTTCGATCTTCGTCGATTTTAACCAAACAAAACTTTCCACTATTATAATTGAATGTAAAGTCACATAGAAAAAGATTCTGCGAGTTTGAAGCTTTAGATTGGTGGAGATGATTTCGGACGAATACGGGATCGGAGATCATCGTATTCCATGATTTCGAGACGGCTTTGAATCGAAGAAGAGATTTGGCGGGTAAATTTAATAGGATTATTTCTATGACGTGTAGTGGAAGGTATGTTGAAACTTGTTCCGAGTGATTTTCAGCCATGGTTGGTTGTGGAGTTTCTAGGGTTGTTGTTTTACAGGATTTATTACTTGTAAATTTGTTTTGTTAATCATCGTATATGTAAGGAAACGTATATATAAATATCACGAAATTCAAATCGATTATAACAAGGGATACGCTCATACGCACACGCAACTCATGATGAAAGGTATTGGTTTATGATTGTGACTCAATTAATTCCTTCCCAAATAAGAGATAACAACTAGGTCAAATTCTTACTAAAAAAAAAACTAGGGTAAAATTCATTTTGCACCCTTATACTATGCAAAATGTATTATTTACCCCCAGATATATAGAAAAATAGCGAAAAGTACAATTTGCACCCTTGAATTATAGGGTTTGTCACTAACTCCCTCCTGAACCATAAAACGGAACAAAATAACCTCTCCATTTTCAATCCGTTTGTGTGTGATGATGTGGCTGAGTTGACTTTTTTCATTTTTTAATCACTTTTGTGGCGACAATATTTTTTGACGTTTTAACCCTCAATTTCCTATATTTGTATCTATTTATATGCACAGGTTCGTTAAAATACTTAATAAAACTTATATTACCAAAAAAATACATATATTAAACAAAAGCTTCCAGACATATCTATCTAATTTTATCAGCCCATAGTAATACAGTGTTGGAAAAAAAATTAATTATAAAAAGAAAGAAAAAAAAAAACCCAAGATGCCTTCTCTTCTCCGACGGCTTTTGTCTACTCTATTTCAAGCAATGTACAATTCATCCGCCCTGAAATCTGACGTTAGGAGTCGCTTCAGTTTCAGTTTAATGAGGAGGGGGCCGAATGACGCCGTCGAAGATGTTTGGGGAATCGACGTTGATATACACGAGTGAAAGTAGGTTCTTATCCCCTGCTACGACCTCACAACAGGGGCGCCTTTGGTGTTCTCGCGGGCCGATGCATTGGAGATGGACTTGCAGTGTGTGGGACCACCTTAGCCGATCTTCTCGATCGGAGAAGGAAGATAGAGGCAAAGAGAAAGAATAACGGGAGAGGTTGGCAAGTCAAAATTTATTAATTAAAGTTTGAGCACAAAGCAGGAAAACATTACTAATGTGGCCAGGGGCGGATCCAGGGGGTTTTCTTGGGGGCGAAAATATAGGGGTAATTTAAGAGAGAAATTTTTTTTTGGGACTAAAGTGTACAAAATTAAAAGTTTGAGGGTGAAAGTGTATAAACTAATACATAAATAAAAAAAATAAAAAAAAAAGAAAAGCTTAAAAAAAAAAGCAGCTTAAAAAAAAGGGTCTATTAGATATAACTCCCTTAAACATTCAAATAATAGGGGTAGACCCAAATTTATATTTGCCATTTTGATAACAGCCCAAACTTTTCATAATTACATAATTACCCTCAATCAAATCCCACAAAACCCGTTAGTTTACCTTTTGAAATAAAATCAAATCCCTTCCTATTTTCCCGTTAAATCACTATCATCCCAAACCCACTATCGAATAAACTGCAAAACCTCTCAGAACAACTTCCCGGTACGGCCGATTGAAAGGGGAAGACGTCTGCACTGCCGTGAAACGACGATTTTCGTGCACTCCGAGCAAGCTGTCGTAGGTACGTCGTCGCCACTCGCTGAATCGCTATCATCCATCGATTTGTTGATATGTTTTGGCTAAATCGACAATCACGTTTGTGTAATTGCAGATCTGTTATAATCGCATACCGAATTCGAGCACTAAATCAGTGATATTGCAACAATTGATGGGCAGGACATCCACCAGAAGTGATATCGTCGTTGGCCGCCGCCGTCGCCGTTGCCGTCACTGCTCCAATCTAGGGTTACTCAAATCTAGGATTACTCAAATCTAGGGTTTTGATAATTCTTCGGCCCATAGTTGATTAACGAGATGCATAGTCGAATTACATCTGTATTAATATACTATCCCATATCATTTAATAGACTATCCCACTGGTATAATTTTACTATGGATCTCGTTAATCGACTATGGACCGAAGAATCATCAAAACCCTAGATTTGAGAAGTGACGGCGGCGGATTTGTGTTTTAAAATTAATATACTATCTCATATCTTTTAATAGACTATCCCATGTATCTAATTCGACTATGGGTTTAGTTAATTGACTATTGGAAAAATAATAATATATATGGAAACTGAATAATATGTTTGTTTGAAATACTAATCAATTAGGGTAATTTTCCTTATTATATGAAAACGATTAAGGTAAATAATAATATATATGAAAAATAATAATATATATGGAAACTGAATAATATGTTTGTTTGAAATACTAATCAATTAGGGTAATTTTCCTTATATCATGTAATAGACTATCTTATTGATCTAATACGACTATGGATCTCGTTAATCGACTATGGATCCCGTATTATTCAACCACATAGTATATTAATAATTTCAATATAGTACATTGATCTGCTATGATAGTATATTACGGTTATAGTAGTGATATGAATTGTGTTACAAACAATATACCACTGAAATGACAAGAACATTGAGAACAACACCAACATAAAGTATTCCAACATAACCAATAAAATAGTACATTAATAATCTCATAATTTCAATCTAGGGTTTTGATAAAATACATAAAACACATCATAACACAATCAAACCAATATGTCGAGTTAAAACTCTAGTACATTAATAATCTCATAATAGTATAATAAAATGATAATGGTAGTATCATACGGTATTCATAATAGTATACTACTGTATTACAACGGTTTAAAACTTAACCGAAGTTACCGAGCCATTACATCGTAAACACCTCTTTATAGCAACCAACCCACCAAACCTCAACAAAATCCGTACGAAATTCGCCATCGAAAAAACCTAAAATCATGAAACAAAATTAAAAATGCAGAATACTAAAAAATGATTAAATAGACTGCAAATACATTTGAATGACAATACATTAATATCATCAAAAATAAACTTAAAATGCAAAATCCATACGCTAATTTAAAAAAGACTACGAACTACATTTTAATGTACTACCCAGCACACTTAAATCGGCTGTTATAAACAAATAAACCAACTATCGATCGGGATAAAAAACATGAACTCGACCACAGCGGACAATTATTCCGATTATTGCATAAACCAACTACGAAGCTTATATAAAACAACTCTGGTCCGATCTGCGTGAACCATCCTCTTCTAACTCTGTCAATCCTCTTCCAAACAAACATCATCCGCCAAAAATAACGATGTATATATTAATATGATACGACATTAAAAATGCAGAATACTAAAAAATATATTAATATGATCAAAAATAAACTTAAAATGCAAAATTCATACGATAACTTAAAAATTACTACGAAATATATTTTAATGTACTACCCAGCGTCCTAAAATCCGCTGTTATAAACAAATAAACTAACTATCGACCGGGATCAGACTCATGAACTCCACGACAGCGGACAGTTATTTCAATTAATGCGTAAACCAACTACGATGTTCATATAAAACAACTCTGGTCCGATATGCGTGAACCATCCTCATCTAACTCTGTCAATCATCTTCCAAACAAACATCATCCGCCAAAAATAACGATGTATATATGATGGAATAATTTTGTTAAAAAACGTTCTACTTAATAGAATCAAGTATCAACACAACTCTTTAAAATTTCTAACCACCGTAATCGACAATCCTAGACATTGAGCGAAAAATAAAAACGAATAACGCATTCATACCCGGTTAACAACGTCCAACAACGAACGCTCAAATTCGATCCTATTTCAACGACGGTGCAGAAATCTTCAAAGACGATAAAAAACCGCTGGAACGCTGAAGAGAACCTTCGAAAAATATTGTACACAATTTGATATAACGGCCAATGATCTCACATAATTTTATTCCGTGATTTTAGGCAACGTATCAGCAAATCTCAAATCACGTAGTAAAGGAAATAAATGCCGTTTAAAAATAAAACAGGGGTATTAAAGGAAAATTATATAATATATTTTGCCAAGTTGGCAAAATTGGGTCTATCTCAAAAAGGAAAAAAAGAATTGGATCTACCTCATTAGAAAATATGAACAAGGGGGTTATCGCTAATAAACCCTAAAAAAAAATCTTGGGGGGGGGGGCCACCCCAGCCTTAGGCATGGGTACGCCCCTGAATGTGGCGATTTACGAGCAAGCGAATTCAACAGATAGATATTTGTTTGACCTAATCATAAAATAAACCCTCCAATTAATTCAAACAAGTAAAGCAACCAACATAAAATTAATATTGCTGAATATATTTCTTCTGCCTAAGACTATGACTTACGAACAACTGATTAATTTTTCTATTACAACTTCCTCTTTCTCTTGTGCCGGAAAAAACGCGCCGGGGTCGATCAGACTATCCAGATACGGAAAATACTCACAGTAGACACTAGAACGTTCGATGTCAAATTTTTCAAACGTCTTCTCAGAAGGGTTGTAGAGCACAAGTCTGCTCGAGTATAATTGGATTAGAATCTTATTTTCGACGAAACACAATGGTTTAAAAAACCAAATGTACGTCGGCACATTCTCGATCGTTATCAACTCCTCCCAGTAATTATTTCCGACGCCCTCTCCCTTTATCCAAATTCGAATCGCGTTACCGCGGCCGTCGTTCGCATTGCAATACACGCACAAACGCCCTTTCAAATCAGCCATGTAAATCCATAGGTGGTCGACTACAATCTCCGGCTTCCGCAATATCTTGAACTCGTCGTCTACCGGATCAAAGTATGTTATAAGATATATACCGGGATCCATCAAGAGCAGATAGAAAACTCCGTCAACAAAAATATGTGGATCGTAAACTACCAGAAAACTAGTGTCACCGAATTCTTTTTTCCTCGTCCAGGAATTGTTCTTGCACGAATAAACCGTGTAGTATTTCAAACACACAACAACAACAACCTTAAAACCGCCGGTTCTCGGATCGTGACAAAGCCCGTAAATTTTCTGGGAACGGGGGTTTACTTCGTACGGGAACTGAAACGTTGCATGCGTTCCAGTGGATGGATTCCACAGCACGAAATCCATGCAAGTTTGTCTGTCGTTGGTTAAGAGCAGAACGCCGTCGCAATAGGATAAGACAACGTTGGAGCCGGGAGGGTATTCCGATAATTGTAAAGTTTGGAGTTTACGATCTTTGTCGATTTTAACCAAAGAGTAATCTTCACTATTATAATGACTGAATCCCAACTCACCTAGAAGAAGATTACGTGAGCTTGAAGTTTTCGATCGGTGGAGCTGATTTTCGACGAATGCAGGATCGGAGATCATCGTATTCCATGATTTCGAGACTGTTTTGAATCGAAGAAGAGATTCCACGGGTAAATTTAATAGGATAGTTTCTATGATTTCTAGTGGAAGAAATGATGTACTTCGTTTTGGGTGCTTTGCAGCCATGGCTGTAGAGTTTTTCTAGGGTTTTTGTTGGCGGCGTATAGTTTTGGAGATCAATCATCAACGACTCAACGTGCCGCTGTGTGTATATATTTATATATCACTCGCACGTGTGTTAATTAGGGATGTAATTAATTAATTAGGGAATTGATTTTGTTTTCTTGAATATCTTCGCAACATATAGAAAAATAACCAACTCAGAATTCGTATAGGTAATGCTTATGGGATAAATTTCGGCCACTTTTGAAGTAATGAATAGATGAATTGTCGGTCCCACATCGAAAGTATTAAACCTTTGGTGTGGATATATATCAATTATAACTAGGGATGTTTACAAATAAGCCTATTAATGGGTACTTATTCATAAAGTGATTCAGACAAAAAATTTATTTACCAATAAGTCCCATATTTTTGTAAATGATTAAAATAACCCTTCATACTTTAATATGCTTCAATTTCATCCTTAACTTAATTTAACTTCAATTTGACCCCAAATTTTATAAATTATTCAATTTTGACCCAAAACGTTTTTTTTTCAAATTTTTTTTTTTCCAAAACTTTTTTTATTCGCCGGATTCCGGCGTTGACTTTTCAATTTTTTTTTCTTCGCCGGATTCCGGCGTTGACTTTTTTGAATTTTTTTTTTCTTTTTTCTTTTTTCTTTTTTTTTCTTTCTGTAACTTTTTTTTTTCCGTTTAAACATCAATATTGCTATGATTGACAGTAATATTAACTATACTAGTAATTGTACCCGTGCGATGCACGGGACAACAAATTGCATTGTTTTGATGTTGTAAGAATATAAACAAACGTTTGATGTATCGTATGATCAAAATTCTATTATACTGGAACATCATTAAGTATACTACACACAAAAAAAAAAGGAAATAACTTTACTATTGAATAATTTTCCAAATGAATTGAATCAGCTAATACCAGTAGATTGAAAATTTGAACCAGGAAAAAAATCATCAACTATGTCTTTCATGTTGAGCTTAAAAGTAATTAGATTTAATAACTTAGTTAACATAATCAAAACTAAACTATCGACAACATAAAAGGCCATCTATACATCTTGCATCGGAACTAAGCCCTTCTCCACTGCCTCATTTTCAGGCTGTTTTGCCACTGGAATTAACAATTGGAAAATTAAGAAACAAAAATAAATATAAACAATAAATTAAATATCGCATACAAACAATAAGTCTTGAAGGTCGACTTCCAATAGCTTGTGGCTCCGCCCATTTTTGGTTAATTCTCTCAAATCATCCATTTCAATAACATGTCCAATAACATATAAAATGAAATAATTGTTATACATAAATTTTGAAAACTTTGGTATAAATTAATGAAACACATAATTTAACAAAATGAAATCACCGATAAGCAATGATGGAAAAAGATGTAAACTAATTGCCACACAGTCAATAGGATGAAGAAGATAAAAAACAAAATCTAAAGTCGGGTTACCAAAAGAAGAAGCCTTAGGTAGGGAAGAAATAAAATTCAAATGTTGCAGACATTATGTAAAACGATGTCACAAAATTCGCTAGGGATGAAAATCAGATTTATTTACCCTTTTCTGTAAAAATCGAAAATCAGATTATTATAAATAATATCTAGGAGAATTTGATGAAAATCGATAATAATATTTAAAATAATATTTAGGAGATAAAAATTTGATAAAAAAATCAGAAAATAATATTTAAAAGATAAAAATCTGATAAAAATCGAAAATAAAATTTAAAATAATAGTTAGAAGATAAAAATTTGATAAAAATCGAAAATAATATTTCAAATAATGTTAATGAGATAAAAGTTGATAAAATACGAAAATAATAATTAGAATAATATTTAGGAGATAAAATATGATTAAAATCAAAATTATTATTTAAAATAAAATTTAGGAGATTAAATTTGATAAAAATCGAAAATAATGTTTAGGAGACAATAATCTGATAAAAAAACAAAATTAATATTTAGGAGATAAAAAAACTAATAAAAACATGATAAAACTCGAAAAAAATATTTAAAATATTATTTAGGAGATATAACTTTGATAAAATTCGAAAATAATATTTAGGAGATAAAAATCTGCTAAAAGTTGAAAATTATATTTAAAATTATAGTTAGGAGATATAAAATTGATAAAATTAAAAAAATATTATTTATAATAATATTTAGGAGATAAAAATTTGATAAAAATAAAAAATAATATTTAGGAGACAAAAATCTGATAAAAATAAAAAATAATATTTAGGGGATACAAATATGATAAAATTCGAAAATAATATTTAAAATAATATTAAGGAGATAAAAATTTGATAAAAATTGAAAAAAAAATTACAAATATGACATTAGGGTTTCTTAGGGTTGCCCTAGCGTTTCTTTCTTTTATATATAAGATTACTGTTAAACACAGTAAAATTAAAACACAGTAATATTGCTATATTAATCTCTAGCACAGTAATATTAACACAACAAAACTCATTATTATTGTGTAATAAAGTAATATTACTATGTTAGCTATAACAACAGTAATATTACCGTCAAACACAGTAATATTACAATAATAGACAGTAATATTATTACGTTACTCCGTGAATAACTCAAACAAACAAAAAATTCCAAAATAAAATAATAATATTGATGTGGTTGACAGCAATATTACTATAACAACAGTAATATTACCGTCAACCACATTAATATTATTGTGTTTACAGTAATATTACAATAATAGACAGTAATATTATTACGTTACTCCGTGAATAACTCAAACAAAACAAAAAAACCCAAAAAATGATAATATTGATGTTGTTGACAGTAATATTATTGTGTTTACAGTTATTTTACTGTCAACGACAGTAATATAATTACGTTGACTTGTCAACAAATAAAACAAAATAAAAAAAATAACAAAAAATAAAAAATAATAATATTACGTTAATTTACTGTCAACGGCAGAACAATTACATAAATGTATTGTCAACGGCAGTACAATTATGTTAATTAACTGTCATTGACAGTATAATTACCTTAATTTACTGTCAGGACAACACAATTATGGTCAACGTTTAGCGGCAGGCGTAAAAAAAAAAAAAAAAAAAAACTTAAAAAAACACTAAAAAAAATCAACGCCGGAGATCGCCGAAACCGGCGAAAAAATCCGGAAGAAAAGAAAAAAAAAAGTCAACTCCGGAAACCGGCGAAAAAATCCGAAAGAAAGAAAAAAAAAATTGAAAAGTTACCGCCGAAATCCTGCAACGTTGATGTGTTGACCGATCAATACAATGTAAGAACATTAATTTCATTTTACGGATTTGTTTTCGGCAATGTTGACCGATCAATACAATGTAAGAACATTAATTTCATTTTACGGATTTGTTTTCGGCAATGTTGCGACAACTCCAATTCAATTATTCTATTCAATACCATTGAAGTTGTTACGTATAAATTATCTGCTAAGTCTCTCGGTCTCTTGTTAGATTCAAAATAGTTTCCAAGTCACGGAATACTATCATCCGTTACTTAATAATTACACGGGTTTTTACACAATGGTTTCATTTGGTTAAGTTGGAACATCGAAAATTTCAAACTGAAAGACGACACCGAAACTTCGCACCAGTTATTAAAGTTTGTTGCTATATATTTATGAAATACTACCTTGTTTTGTCGATCAGGGGTCCTGAGAAACGACACATTCGAGATTTTGCACAAGCCGGAAAATAATACTAATGTGTCGATTTACGAGCAAACGAATTCAGCAGATGTTTGTTTGACCTAATCATAAAATAAACCCTCAAAGTAATTCAAAGAAGTAATGCAACCAACATAAAATAATATTGCTGAATATATTTCTTCTGCCTAAGACTATGACTTACGAACAACTGATTAATTTTTCTATTACAACTTCCTCTTTCTCTTGTGCCGGAAAAAACGAGCCGGGGTCGATCAGACTATCTAGATACGGAAAATACTGACAGATAGTATAACGTTCGATGTCAAATTTTTCAAACGTCTTCTCAGAAGGGTTGTAGAGCACAAGTCTGCGCGAGTATAATTGGATTAGAATCTTATTTTCGACGAAACACAATGGTTTAAAAAACCAAATGTACGTCGGCACATTCTCGATCGTTATCAACTCCTCCCAGTAATTATTTCCGACGCCCTCTCCCTTTATCCAAATTCGAATCGCGTTACCGCGGCCGTCGTTCGCATTGCAATACACGCACAAACGCCCTTTCAAATCAGCCATGTAAATCCATAGGTGGTCGACTACAATCTCCGGCTTCCGCAATATCTTGAACTCGTCGTCTACCGGATCAAAGTATGTTATAAGATATATACCGGGATCCATCAAGAGCAGATAGAAAACTCCGTCAACAAAAATATGTGGATCGTAAACTACCAGAAAACTAGTGTCACCGAATTCTTTTTTCCTCGTCCAGGAATTGTTCTTGCACGAATAAACCGTGTAGTATTTCAAACACACAACAACAACAACCTTAAAACCGCCGGTTCTCGGATCGTGACAAAGCCCGTAAATTTTCTGGGAACGGGGGTTTACTTCGTACGGGAACTGAAACGTTGCATGCGTTCCAGTGGATGGATTCCACAGCACGAAATCCATGCAAGTTTGTCTGTCGTTGGTTAAGAGCAGAACGCCGTCGCAATAGGATAAGACAACGTTGGAGCCGGGAGGGTATTCCGATAATTGTAAAGTTTGGAGTTTACGATCTTTGTCGATTTTAACCAAAGAGTAATCTTCACTATTATAATGACTGAATCCCAACTCACCTAGAAGAAGATTACGTGAGCTTGAAGTTTTCGATCGGTGGAGCTGATTTTCGACGAATGCAGGATCGGAGATCATCGTATTCCATGATTTCGAGACTGTTTTGAATCGAAGAAGAGATTCCACGGGTAAATTTAATAGGATAGTTTCTATGATTTCTAGTGGAAGAAATGATGTACTTCGTTTTGGGTGCTTTGCAGCCATGGCTGTAGAGTTTTTCTAGGGTTTTTGTTGGCGGCGTATAGTTTTGGAGATCAATCATCAACGACTCAACGTGCCGCTGTGTGTATATATTTATATATCACTCGCACGTGTGTTAATTAGGGATGTAATTAATTAATTAGGGAATTGATTTTGTTTTCTTGAATATCTTCGCAACATATAGAAAAATAACCAACTCAGAATTCGTATAGGTAATGCTTATGGGATAAATTTCGGCCACTTTTGAAGTAATGAATAGATGAATTGTCGGTCCCACATCGAAATTATTAGTACTTTAATGCGGATATATAATCAATTATAACTAGGGATGTTTACAAATAAGCCTATTAATGGGTACTTATTCATAAAGTGATTCAGACAAAAAATTTATTTACCAATAAGTCCCATATTTTTGTAAATGATTAAAATAACCCTTCATACTTTAATATGCTTCAATTTCATCCTTAACTTAATTTAACTTCAATTTGACCCCAAATTTTATAAATTATTCAATTTTGACCCAAAACGTTTTTTTTTCAAATTTTTTTTTTTCCAAAACTTTTTTTATTCGCCGGATTCCGGCGTTGACTTTTCAATTTTTTTTTCTTCGCCGGATTCCGGCGTTGACTTTTTTGAATTTTTTTTTTCTTTTTTCTTTTTTCTTTTTTTTTCTTTCTGTAACTTTTTTTTTTCCGTTTAAACATCAATATTGCTATGATTGACAGTAATATTAACTATACTAGTAATTGTACCCGTGCGATGCACGGGACAACAAATTGCATTGTTTTGATGTTGTAAGAATATAAACAAACGTTTGATGTATCGTATGATCAAAATTCTATTATACTGGAACATCATTAAGTATACTACACACAAAAAAAAAAGGAAATAACTTTACTATTGAATAATTTTCCAAATGAATTGAATCAGCTAATACCAGTAGATTGAAAATTTGAACCAGGAAAAAAATCATCAACTATGTCTTTCATGTTGAGCTTAAAAGTAATTAGATTTAATAACTTAGTTAACATAATCAAAACTAAACTATCGACAACATAAAAGGCCATCTATACATCTTGCATCGGAACTAAGCCCTTCTCCACTGCCTCATTTTCAGGCTGTTTTGCCACTGGAATTAACAATTGGAAAATTAAGAAACAAAAATAAATATAAACAATAAATTAAATATCGCATACAAACAATAAGTCTTGAAGGTCGACTTCCAATAGCTTGTGGCTCCGCCCATTTTTGGTTAATTCTCTCAAATCATCCATTTCAATAACATGTCCAATAACATATAAAATGAAATAATTGTTATACATAAATTTTGAAAACTTTGGTATAAATTAATGAAACACATAATTTAACAAAATGAAATCACCGATAAGCAATGATGGAAAAAGATGTAAACTAATTGCCACACAGTCAATAGGATGAAGAAGATAAAAAACAAAATCTAAAGTCGGGTTACCAAAAGAAGAAGCCTTAGGTAGGGAAGAAATAAAATTCAAATGTTGCAGACATTATGTAAAACGATGTCACAAAATTCGCTAGGGATGAAAATCAGATTTATTTACCCTTTTCTGTAAAAATCGAAAATCAGATTATTATAAATAATATCTAGGAGAATTTGATGAAAATCGATAATAATATTTAAAATAATATTTAGGAGATAAAAATTTGATAAAAAAATCAGAAAATAATATTTAAAAGATAAAAATCTGATAAAAATCGAAAATAAAATTTAAAATAATAGTTAGAAGATAAAAATTTGATAAAAATCGAAAATAATATTTCAAATAATGTTAATGAGATAAAAGTTGATAAAATACGAAAATAATAATTAGAATAATATTTAGGAGATAAAATATGATTAAAATCAAAATTATTATTTAAAATAAAATTTAGGAGATTAAATTTGATAAAAATCGAAAATAATGTTTAGGAGACAATAATCTGATAAAAAAACAAAATTAATATTTAGGAGATAAAAAAACTAATAAAAACATGATAAAACTCGAAAAAAATATTTAAAATATTATTTAGGAGATATAACTTTGATAAAATTCGAAAATAATATTTAGGAGATAAAAATCTGCTAAAAGTTGAAAATTATATTTAAAATTATAGTTAGGAGATATAAAATTGATAAAATTAAAAAAATATTATTTATAATAATATTTAGGAGATAAAAATTTGATAAAAATAAAAAATAATATTTAGGAGACAAAAATCTGATAAAAATAAAAAATAATATTTAGGGGATACAAATATGATAAAATTCGAAAATAATATTTAAAATAATATTAAGGAGATAAAAATTTGATAAAAATTGAAAAAAAAATTACAAATATGACATTAGGGTTTCTTAGGGTTGCCCTAGCGTTTCTTTCTTTTATATATAAGATTACTGTTAAACACAGTAAAATTAAAACACAGTAATATTGCTATATTAATCTCTAGCACAGTAATATTAACACAACAAAACTCATTATTATTGTGTAATAAAGTAATATTACTATGTTAGCTATAACAACAGTAATATTACCGTCAACCACAGTAATATTACAATAATAGACAGTAATATTATTACGTTACTCCGTGAATAACTCAAACAAACAAAAAATTCCAAAATAAAATAATATATTGATGTGGTGACAGCAATATTACTATAACA